CTCTCACAGATGAATTAGGAGCAGAAGCAGAAGGAGTGTCAACAGCATGTCCAGAAGTTCCGCGAGAACCGGCTCCCTCAGCACGTACTGTCTCCTGGGTAGGCAACGGCTTGGCTTTCGCGACCCGAAGCTCAACTGGCACCTCGTTAATCAGATTTTTATCCTTCATTTCTTTCACAGCGTCTTTTTGGACAGCCTCAGCGTACTCCTTCACCCCCCCGGCAAACATCTCCGCTGCCCATGCCTCCATTAAGGATTCCATAGCTTCATCATATGTCTTCTGTGCCTCTGCCATGGCCTTACGAGCTTCTTCTCCTGCCCTCTTCATACGGAGCAGTGTCTTGTGCATCGCATTCGCTGCAGGAAGTTTGGCGTTCCGTGTATGCCCGGTGAGCACTGCGGCGGACTTCTCCGCATATGCAGACTTCAAGTATCTCACTGCCTCGCCAAGGTAGTCCTTCGCTACAACGGCGGCGTCGCTTGCTCGCAACGCAGGGTTAAGAACAAGTTTTGCCCTCTTGATGGCGTGCTGAGCGTGGTCTTCGGCGGCGGCAGCTTCGTCGTGAGACGCCCCGAACCTCTTCTTTAACTCCGTGACGTTACCCAACGTCAGTGTAACCTGCGCAATGCCAGCATTTGGGGCATGCGCTGCTGTCTTCGTTTTGCTTGCTGCATCAGAGCAATCAGTAATGGCACGACCAAACAGATCGAACATATTATTGATGTCTTCAAAAGCCTTTGTAGCATTCTTCTTCAAATCGGTTTCCGGCTGAACCGTCTTTCCTCGGCCTCTCCTTGCCTTCACTGCATCATACAGCGGAACCATTTTATTCACCGATTCCAACGCTGTTGTAAAGGCAAGTGTTGAAGCATTCAGGGCTTTCTCTGCAGCCTCCGCAGCACCGATCACACTCTTCACTGCCTTCTCCATCTCCTCCTTTCCCTTCTGCGCCATTCTCACGACGAGGGATGACTTTTTTAATACATACCTGGCATCGTCAGCGCTTAGCTTTGTCGCATTGGGTTTCTCGCGGCGGTAGTAGTACAGCGGCTTCATCCGGTCCCGAGCCCCATAGTCGCGGAACTCCGGGCCATGACCGTAGAATGACTTCTTTAAGAAGTCGTGCAGCGTCATTGTCCCTTTTTTCTTACTGACCGGGTCGATTGCGGGCACGGTCTCACTCTGGCCAGATTCCGTGATCGCCTCCGTCCCAGTACTGGGCTCCTCAGTGGCAGTAGCCGTCACGCACAAGGCCGTGCAGCACAGAGCAGCGGCCAACACCCACACAACGCGGCGCACCGTCACCATCATTCAATATCGC